AATATTTCATATATTTTTAATAATTTTATTTAAAATTTTATATATTTTACTATAAAAATTAAATATAAAAAAAAATACCTTGACATGTCGGGACGTTTTAAAAAATCTGGAACCTATATATATATATAAACATACAACCGAGACACTTGACACACACTCACACACTAATAAACGAATAAACGAATCCTTTTCTTTACTTTTATAGTTTGATCTCCGTCAAATCAAACCCAAGGTTATAAATAAATAAAATAAAAGGCTTAATTCTTTACTCGTTAAAAAAAATAAAAACAGTAAAGCCTTTTAGAATTAGATGTTCCAAATCCAATTCAGAGTGGGATTAGAAAATTGAGACGGTCCCATATACAAGCCTTTTTGCCCCAAGGAAAGTCCATAAACTTATCCAATTTTGCAGGCTAATTGTGAACAGCCCAAACCAGTTGTAAACCTAAGTCCAATAGAAATCAGATATGTGCAACCTTGAACCAAATCCAAACATGGAAAGGTCACAGAAAAACCCTATTTATTTGGCTGCCACAAGCAACCTTATTCTCCAATTCTCTTACTCTCCCTTCGCCGGAATTTGATTGTTCCATAAACAAGTTTATTACTTTTCAAGAATTTGTTGGAGGGATTTGTGATGGAGGATTGTTGGGGCAGCGATGAGGAGTACGGTGAAGACTCCCTGAATGAGATGGAGATGGAGGATGAGGAATCCGATCGCCGGACGGTCTCTTCCACGGTTATTACAAAAGACTCTCTTTTGGCTGCACAGAAGGAGGATCTTCGTAAAGTCATGGACTTACTTTCTCTAAAAGAGCACCATGCACGGACTTTGCTTATACATTACCGGTGGGATGTGGAGAGGTTGATTGCAGTGCTAGTTGATAAGGGCAAATCAAGATTGTTTTCCGAAGTTGGAGTTAGTATGGTCGAGTGCCGGGAAGACAACACCAGTACTTCTGTAGCACCGTCTGTGATTTTTTGTGAGATATGCATGGAGGAGTTTTCGGGTGGTGAGACATCAAGAATGGAGTGTGGCCATTGTTATTGCAATGATTGTTGGACGGAGCATTTTATTGTGAAAATAAATGAGGGGCAGAGTAGGCGCATACGGTGCATGGCATACAAATGTCATGCCATTTGTGATGAGGCTATAGTTAGAGATCTTGTTCGCAAAAGACATGATGAACTTGCGGAGAAATTTGATCGATTTCTCCTCGAATCATATATAGAGGATAACAAGATGGTTAAGTGGTGTCCTAGTATACCTCATTGTGGGAATGCAATCCGGGTTGAGGATGATGATGAATTTAGTCATGAAGTACAGTGTTGTTGTGGGGTGCAGTTTTGTTTCAATTGCTTATCAGAAGCACACTCTCCATGTTCATGTTCTATGTGGAAACTTTGGATGAACAAGTGCCAAGATGAATCTGAGACAGTTAATTGGATTACAATAAACACAAAGCCTTGTCCAAAGTGTGGCAAACTTGTGGAGAAAAATGGAGGATGCAATCTTGTGGCGTGTGTTTGTGGACAGCCATTTTGTTGGTTGTGCGGTGAGGCTACAGGTCGGAATCACACTTGGGAAAAAATTGAAGGTCACAGCTGCGGTCATTACGAAGAAGAGCATATGAGAAAAATAGAACTAGCAAATCAGGATCTCCATCGCTATATGCACTATTATAACCGTTACAAAGCTCACAAAGAATCATTTGTCCATGAAAGTGGTAAGCTGAGGGAGAGCATCCTAGAGAAAGTATCGAATTCGGAAGCAAGGGAATGGAGTCTAAGAGATTTCAGCTGGGTAACAGATGGCCTTTACAGGCTATTGAGATCAAGGCAGGCTCTTTCGTATTCATACCCGTTTGCTTATTACATGTTTGGGAAGGAGCTATTCCAGCGTGAGATGACAATGGAGGTAAGGAAGATGAGGCAGAATCTTTTTGAAGACCAGCAACAGCAGCTTGAGTCTAATGTTGAGAAACTCTCCAAGATTTTAGAAGTGCCATTTGATGAATATGCAGATGAAGAAGTTTTAAAGGTACGGATGGAAGTTATGGACCAGAATGCAATTGTTGATAGACTCTGTAAGAAGATGTACGAATGCATAGAGAATGATTTACTAGGTTCTATCAATGTCAGCCATATCCACAATATAGCTCCTTACAAGTCTAAGGGCATTGAGAAAGCATCACAACTTTCTGCTGATGATGGTAGTACTGGTTGCTACAATAGATCGACCGTTATAATTAGGTATATATAGATCTAACTGAAGATGTTCCTGCCTTATGCTTTTCCTTCTACACCTAGTGTACTATCTATTAATTTCTCAGAACATTCACATATTGTACATGGCCTTTTGTTGCTTTTTTATGAGGGGTAATGTTAAATTTACAAAACTTTCTCACAAAATCTATATATCATTCTATGCTTATTACTTTGCTTGTTATACTTATTAACAATGATATTATATAATCGATGTGAAATTTTGGGTATAAAGGGTGCTCATTTCGATCGGTTTAGATCATCTAATCATCATTAGATCATTAGATTATGTATATATAATATGTTAAATTAATTAGCAACCGCTAATATGGTAGGAACATTTGTTAATGTTCTTCGAATGGTTGTACAAAATTTGCTTTCCAACTTTTATGTTCCCCTGTTTTTCTACATGTCTCTATACCTTTATCATTCTTTCTCTTGGAGTCCATCATCATCTTTATATTCTGTACATGATATTTTCAACTTTCAGAAGCTCCTCTGAACTCTAGACTTGATCTATCTATCACCTGCTATAAAAGTTCTTCAATTATATCATTGATTTCAAGATCAATGTTTCTATGTTCTCTTTTCATTTCAAGTTCTGATCTCTTATTTAATGTGTTCAACATATGGAGTAATTAAGAGACACAACACCTTAGGTCATTCCTTTTACAATGCTAACTTACTGCCTTCTGACAAACTTAACACGGGTAACCAAAATTTTTTATTCCATTTATATATGTAAGCACAGTGGTTGAACCAGACAAGGAGTATGTTGATAGTTCACAAAATACGGTAATGGAAAGGGATGGCAGGAATTGAAGGCCACACTAGAAAGTGTTAAGATCACACAAATATTGTGAATTTTTTCATAAATAGTTAGTTATTATATTTAAAAATATTAATTTATAGATTTATTGTAATTTTTTAAATAATAAATATTAATAATTTTGTTATTTATCAATTAACAGTCAAATTAAACTGAATTAATATTTTGAAAGATAATATACAAATTAAAAATTATGTGATCTTAACATATTTTTAAGTGTGGCTATAACCTTTACCAGGGATGCTCTTGCTTTTCAAAGATGAATGAGATGATTCCCTTAACTTTTACTTATATCTAGCTGCGTCAAGTCAAGGTTTTTCAAAACTTGACTTGATGAAAAACAAATGAAGAAGAACAGAAATTAAAGGGGAAAAAGGGAGGTCCGTGGGGACAACCTTCTAATTTTCCAATTGTATCCGATGTCTGTCTGAAACCAAGAAAAAGAATGAATCAAAGCAAAGAACCATCAAGGAAAAAATAGGAAGAAAGAAGGGGGAAAGGAAAAATCATTAAGGAACCTGATAAAAAACAGAGAAAACCAAAAGAATTTTGTCCCATAATTAGATTTTTTTTTTTCGATGGTTCCATGTGCACACATTTTGGAAGAAGACAAAAGTCTTCTTAAAAGTAGCAAGCTTTCTTAGATTCAAACAAAATCCACTATAATGGTATAATGTGCGTAGTGTTTGAGTACGTATAATTAACTCCCGCTTTGCTTGATTACCATATTTTTTATCCTTTTTAACTACTACCACAGAACATTATTTTAAAAAATGATTATGGGTTTACATTATTTGGGTTTTTATATATTAGACTTACAAATGATATAAGTGCAATTCCAAAGAAATTGAAAATTTTCTTGTTATAACAAAATTTATTGGGGTTTTAAATTTCAAGTTGTATCTTAAAGTACCTTGAGATGGAGAAAGTATAATATATCACCGGTATACCACGTCACTTGTATCCCTATCCAATCAAATACTGCCAGCTCATGTGCAAAAAATAATTAAAAATTTTGTGTTAATGTCGTTACTGAGAATGGCTTACGCCGTTACAAACTGCAATACCCCATCCTTCTCAGGCTTGCCTTTTCCTTTTCTTCCTTACCCTAACTTTTCAGTTCACCGACTTCGAAGCCACCAGTCCCACCCCTATCCCCACGACCATGGCAAACTCTTAGAGATAAACTGACACAAAATTAAACTACTCCTCCATTATTTTCGATTTCATCCTTTGTTTTTTCGTTAATGAAATGTGGATTAGAGGTATGACCCATTTTTTTAGTCTCCTTTAGGATCACAAACAATCATATGAACTTGGTTTGTGAAGTTAGTGTTGATTGAGTTTTTAATACGATCCAGATTGTTGTAAATAAAACTAATTAAACTAGAGATTGTAGTAAAATTTTTAATTTGAACTTCACAATTTTGAAGTATAGACATAGGATTTACAGGATGCAAAATACCCAATTAGAGTGCAATGATGATGTTATACTGGGATTTGAGGTCAAAACCCAAATGGATTCTTTCACCACTTGTAGAAACTTAGAGAGATATGGGGGTTGGTTTGGTCCTTCGGAAGATTTGATGGAGAAGGGAGGGGTTGGTACTTTGATTTGTTTGTGTTTTGCAATAACAAAATGGGTCTATAATACAAATCACAAAAATGTCTAAGACAATTGACAATTTATGCTTGTTGGCCTATAAAAAAAAATGTTTATGTTATGTTGATGCTGCCTACGAAAATTTCCCTCAAAATTTTTAGATTTTATATTCAGCTCATGAGAATCTGTTACTGGAATCGAATTCTTGAGGTCTTAGCATGCTCTATGGAAAATAATTTTTTGTTTCTGTTTTGATTGAGGTGGAGGGGGAGGAGAGGCAGGCAACTGAGCGAAGTGCAGCGAGAAAAGGGGGCATTGGAGAACATAAAAGTTTAACGGTGTTAATAATTTTCCGGTTGCATGTCGTGAGTTGGCTATGATTTGGCAAAAGGTTATTACTTGTCATTTTGTTATTGGACTGAGATACCACATCAGGTGGTATACCGGGGATATAGTAGACTTTCTCCTTTAGGATGTCATCTTTTATAAGTTCGGTCGATCCTGGACTTTGATCTTTTGTTAGGTGTTGGGTCACTATTTTAATACAACTGAACAATAATATAGAAACTAGATCTAACAAACGAGTAGGTTGGGTCGGTTTTGGGTTGAGTTAGAACGAGTAATTAGTCAAAACGGATTACAGGTTAATGAAAGTAGATCTTAATCCGCTTATCACGGGTCGTGAGTTGACCTAATTAAATTTTTTTTTTTTATAATTTGTACCTATTATCATTCAAAGAAAATTATTCAAAAGATTTAAAAGAGAAATTTAACATCTTATAAAAAGAATTTGTTTCCCATTAATTTAATATATACATATTTCTAATTCTTCAAAATCACCTTCTTTACTTCCTTTCTAAGAACAACGCTAATCAAATTTAAGAACACCACACTTATAAATCTCAATAGCAAAAAGAAAAAAAAAAAGTAGCAATAGCATGACAACCAAAAAACACAAACCCCATTGGAACATATTTGTTTTGATCATTGTTTTCAAAGAATCAATCAACTGAATGCATCTAAATAAGCAAAGGAGAAGATCAAGTAGAATTTTTACTCGAAATGGAAAAAAAACTAAAACACATAAATAAGTAAACAACTTACCTTGAAGTTTTTAGAGAAAAAAGTTGGTGACAAAAAGAACACTTACCAAACACGTAGGAAAAAGAAAGAAAAGGCTAAGTGGACGTGATGATGATTAGGTGAGATTAAGATTTAAGTCTGATATAATGTTAAAGACCAAAGAAAAAAAGTAAAGTTGAAGCTTGAAAGTTGAAAATTGTATAGAGAGTTTGGAGAATATGAGAAGAGTTTGAAGTTTAAAGAGTTAGAGTCATAGAAAGTATTAGGGCAAGCAAGAATAGGATAGGTCGGAAGGTGAGTTATAAGTGGAGTGAGATTATTTTTACTTCTAGAAGATGATGAGTTAAGAGAATTAATTAGCTAATTAGTGAAAATTAGTGAATTATTAGAGGTTTATGTAGAATTGGGAATTAAAAAACAATATAAATAAATAAATAATAAATTAAAAATTTTTAAATTTTTAGATAAGTAAACGGGTCAAACCCGTTAACTTGATGAGTCAATCCGTTATTGACCCATGACTCGTCGGGTTCTCTTAACGAGTCATGACAGGTCACGGGTCATAAATATATGATTCTAACCCGTTTTAAATAGGCGAGTTAGCGGGTTGAGTAAAAAATTGTCCAGTGTAATAGAAACTTACAATTCACATTATCATTTGCGCTTCTCTAGGATTGAAAATCAATTCCTTAAAATTTTCAACAACCATCAACAAAGTCT